AACCTGGCCTGCAGAGTGGCCAGCGAAGGCTGTGGCACATTGGCTCATGTGCTGGTCTCCTGGCCACTGTTGGCTCAGTGTCTCATGTCTAGAAGGGAGTGTCAAGGTGCACAGATCGGGGCGGGCTTGCCGGGGGCCCCATGCAGCCATCATGGAGTGGACCCCAGGACCCCACCCCCACTCAGAGATGACCCTTCCCTCTTAAGATGGCCCAGCGTTCACCTTTGGGAACTGTGGGTTAGGTTTAGGGGTGCATGAGTTCTAGAGCCAGCAGATGGTACTCTGGGAGCTGGGGTTGCAGGGCACCCCGCGAGTGACAGCCTCAGCCCGTTTGCCTGGTAGGGCTGGAGACCCTCGCGGAGTCTGGAAGCCCTGCAGAGGATGGAGAGTCTGAGGGTCCCACTGACACTCAGAGCCGCGAGGACGGCGGGCACGTCGCCAGCCTCTCGTCCTGCCTGCCGGGGTCCCCTGGCGAGGCTTCCCGCACCCGGCCAGGTATGCTGATCCCCTGCACCTCAGCCTCCCGCAGCCACTGAGCAGGTGGGAGGTCTGCCCCCAGGCAGGGGCGGGGGGCCGGCGGCCTCCACAAGGGCCGCCCGCTGGGCACTCACCGACGTCGTGGATGAACTGCTCGATCTTGGCCTGCATGCCCCAGTAGCGGAACTCCACCTTGCACAGCTTGTAGGCGCACATGAGGGGGCCCGTCTGCGCGGCCGTGCGCGCCCAGTCGTCCGCCAGCGGCCCCCTGCCTGTCTTGACCGAGCGGTACAGCCGAGGGTCCTCTTCCGCTTTGTATTCCCCCGGGGCCACCGCGTCCCTCACGATGTCGATGGTGTCTGAGGGGTCGGGCGGCACTGAGCCTCGCCAGCCCCCTCCCGCCCGGCCCCCTTCCTGCCTGGGACTGGACTGGGAGCGCAGCCTTGCGGACAGGAAGCCAAGGCCCGAGAGAGCACGGGAGGCCGCCGCCCGCCTGCCCGCCTCAGGCCTCACCCAGAATGCGCTGTCTTCTCTCGGCCCCACTCAGGTTGAAGACGTTCGGCTGCTGCCCCCCATCAGGCAGGTAGTAGGTCTCTATTTCAATGGAGAATTTCTCCACGAAGGGGCAGGTGTACCTGGGTGGGGCCAGGACTGGGTTAGGGCTGGGGCCACGGGGGCGGCCCAGCCCGGCTGCCCCGCCCACTCACCGGGTGCGGGTGTAGGGATACGCGTTCCAGGACTCCTCCTCCACCTGCAGGGCGGCCTTGGGCAGCAGTGCCCGGAACCAGCCTGGGATGTGGGAGCCCACATGGTACACCTTGTGTGTATATTGCCCGCTGCCGCCGGGCCCGTCCGTGTAGGGCCGGTTCGCCAGGATCTCCACGCCACTGCCCTCACCACTTGACTCCTCCCGGCTCTTTTTCTGAAACCCAGGGCCAAGCAGGACAGGCAGCTCAGCTCCCGGGGCCAGCTTGGCCCTGCCCCTGCGCAGCTTCGGGCCTGCCGGCTCCGGGGAATGCAGCCCTGGCCCCTCAGCTCTGGGGTCGGGATCGCAACTGTCCAGTCCGCCACGGGGTTCTGCCGCCTGAGCTCAGGTACTGTTTGGGCTTCTGCTAATTGGGGTGTGTTGATAAGCAGAATAAAACCTCTGCCCTCCTGGAGCTTATATTCTAGTGGACAGAGACGGACGACACAACGCAATTACGCTGTGGTAGAGGGTGACACGCCCCGCGGAAAGAAAGCAGGAGCGGGCAGAGATGGGGCTGTTTGGACAGGTTGGCTGGAGGCCGTGATTTGAGCAGGGCGTGAAGGGGGGTGGGGAGGGAAGGCGCCGAGGCTGCGGTGTGGGGGCAGAATTCCAGGCAGAGGGGAGTCTGGGCAAGTTCCGGGGGAGGGGGTCGTGCTGCAGGGGCTCCGGGCAGCAAGGCGACCATGGCGGGAGGGCTAGAAGCACCTAGAAGAATGAATGGGGCCCCCAGCTCTCCAAGTACCTGATCATGATCCTCTCTGGGACCCCAGTTCCAGCTCCTGCCACACCCCTCAGAGTGTGAGAGCCCTCACGCCCTGCCCTTCTGTGACTCTGGAACCGAGCTAGCCCACTCGGGCCTCCTCAGACTGCTCCCACGTTCCTGGGTCTCTGGGAGCACATCTGGCTCAGGGGTGCTGGGGCCCTGCCAGCCCTTGCCCTCCCAGGGCGCCCGCCCTGCCCATCCTCCTCTCTGCTCCGGCCCTCCCCTCCTCTCAGCGCAGACCCCTTTGCCCTCCCGGGCCCTGCTTGCCCCTGCCAGTCTGGGGCTGGTTACTAGCCCTCTGGCCTCGGGGTTGCCAGAATCCTGCGCCTTGTAGGGACCCCAGGCTGCTCACCATGGGCAATGCAGCCTCACTCTGGCTCCCTCTTGCCTCCTGTGCCCTCCTTTCCCTGCCCCCACGGATTACAGATTCTGAGGAGGATTAAAGGGGAGCAGCGGGCAGAGCAGACTGCTGGGCTGGGCACCGGGGGGATAGGAGGTGCCACAGGCCCGGCAGCCCTTGCTTCTCCAGGGCTCCTTAGAGGGGCCTCTGTTTTTCTGGCTCCTGAGCCCTGCAAGCCCAGGAGCTGGACTGGACGGGGAGGAGCTGGGCCTGGCCCCTTGGCGTGGGGCCTGACGCTGCCGGCCTTCCCATCACCAAGTCTGGACTGGGGGGCCTCCTGCTGCCCACCGCCCTCACCTGGATCATGTAGAGCTGGGCCACCTGGTACTCGTCCAGGCTCATGGGCAGCAGGATGTGATACTCCTTGAT